ATTTCTAAAACTTTTCATTCCTATAGACTGAATACTAAACGAATCTCAACAATTCACTTATATTGATGTATTTAGCGTTGGTCCATATATTTCTTTTGCAAAAATGATCGACGTAGGTCATATACTATATGAATAGGTAGAGGGTGTTTAGTCAGGGTGAGAATTGAACCTCAACAATACAAATTACGGTCGACAATTCGTTGATGTATCCCTTTTCACGGCACGAGTCCTTCAATGGCCATTCTACCATTCAAGGATACTTTTAACAAACCAATAGAACTCCTATTTATAATTCAGATTTCTAGATAAGGGTCACACCACTTGCTTTGCGCGCATGCTTTCATTTTTTTTTCACAAAATTTCTTTTAAAACGATTTTAAAGCTGCTGACTTTTAAAAGACATATAACTGATTGTAACACAACTTTCAAAATCGCAAACAAATAAAGTTTTTTTTTTTTAAATTTTAATTTAAATACGCTATATTAAGGCCATGAAGACTGTAAAAGTTACAATATGTATCGTAAGATTTATAATCTGTGCAGTAAAATGTACCATACAGATTGTAAGGTTTACAATATCAAAGTAAAATTTACAATACGTATAGCACGATTTATAATATAAACAGTAAAATTTACATTACAGATTGTAATTGCATTTACGATATATACAGTAAAATTTACTATACAGATTGCAAGATTTGCAATAAATACAGTCAAATTTATAATATGTGCAGTAAAATTTACTGTGTGGGTTGCAGGCTCTCAAATGATAAAATGCAAAGTTAATATGTACAGTAAAATTTACAATAATGTACAGTAAAATTTACCATACAGATTATAAGACCCTAGTAGAAATTTGTCCCAGTAATTATCGTGGCACTGGACAGTTGCGCTAGAAGCTGTCTAGTAACTTAACACTGCAACTGGCTAATTACTCGAATGGAATGTCACGCTTTTTTCGTCTAGTTATTGTCTAGCCCAACTTGATAAATTCTGATCAACGGTCCGTTAGAAAAACTAGACAAATTATTTCTTTTAAATATTCTCAAAATTTGTCTAATATTAAGATTTAATGTAAGAAACTAATTATACAATAATAAATTATATAATTACATTAATTTTTTTAAATTATAATCTAAATTATTTCAAGAAAATATAATGTATAGTAAATTGTTAAAAGCATAATATTTGTCAATACTGTTTAATTTTTAATTTTAAAACAAAATTTTACTTGTGTAAAAGGATCACAAATATTTTCTGGTACACTGAAACATCCACTTTTTGATTGCACTGTAATGACGACTGAAACAAATATTTTTGTATTATTAATTTATTATACAATTATTATTATCAACTTTTAAACACGAAGAGAACGCAATTTCAACGAAAAATCTCGGGGGTAACGGGGAGCGAACACGGGTCCGCTGGGCGCGAGGTACGCACGCTACGCAATCTGCTATACAAATGATATCCATCAAACGAAAAATATAGCAGATATATTTTAGTTCAGTGCTGTAGCTAGAAATTGCATGTTTTATATAAATATTTTTACTATTATCTGCCAAAATACATATTTTAGAATTTTTATTTTTTATAATTTACTGAAAAATAAATTTACACTTGAAATAACAATTTTAATCAGCACAAATTTCATTAAACCATTATTGTATTAAACAATAGATATTTTAAATTTTCTAAAAATTTAATTTTTAATTTTTTACAACTTAATTTTAATATTTTATAATTTAAAATTTTTTTTAATTTAGCTATTAATCCACCTATTATTAAAATTATATAGTTTATTTAAAAAGATTTTAAAAATTTAAGGCATAAAAACATTTTAATTTAAAAAAATAAAAAGAGAAATAAAATATAACCTATCTATGTAACAAGGCATATTTTTATTATTGCATTTTGACATTTTTTAAAAATAATTACTATTAAAATTATTATTTATTGTTTTCTAAGTGAAAAACTCAACGAAAACAGTAATTTTTATTGTTTTTTAATATCAAAGGATAGAATTTATAGGTTAGGTTTTTTAAATTACACATTTTTTTCAATATCAATTAAGAATAAACTTTCTTAATAAAAATATATATGATATATAAATGGAACAATAAATAAAATGCCAATAAAAGATAATAGAATAATTTAATTTATAAAAAAGAAAAACATACTAATATATTCACACGGAGAAAAATGGAAAAACGAATAAAGTAACTTTTACACTTTAAAAGTAAAATTGGACCTGTCCGAAGTTTCTGCGCATCTCTGGCAACTTTTACTCGAAAAATAGTAAAATTGACTATTTCTGTAGTAAATTTTACTGTTTCCGTAGTAATTTTTACTATTTCTGAAGTAAATTTTACTATTTTTGGAGTAAAAGTTGCCAGAGATGCGCAGAAACTTCGGACAGGTCCAATTTTACTTTTAAAGTAGTAAAAGTTACTTTTTCTTTTTTTCCGTGCAGAAAACATGTGAATATAGATTTTATTTATTTATTATATTAAAATAATAAATTATGTTAATTTATATTTACCTGAATTAATTAGAATTTTATTATTTAAGAAAATAATGAAATAATATAATAGTTACATGAACACAGATTTCTAGCACTTTTTTGTCTAGTTATTAGACATGTACTTTCCACGAAAGAAGACGAAAGTATAATTTCTAGAGACACTAGACAGTGCCATTCAAGCAACTGGACAAAAGTTGAATCTAGCCAATTTCAAGTTCAACTTGAATGTTTTCTAAGACTGATGGTCAAGTAACTTTACAGTAATTGTCTAGTTTGTCTAGAATCAGCGTTCACGAGAAAAACTGGCCAGTTACTAGAGTATTTCTAGTGCTTCCATGACAAATTTCTACTAGGGGAATAACAGTATGTGTAGTAAAATTTACCATATAGATTGTAAGATTTACAATATGTGCAGTAAAAATTACCATGCGGATTGTAAGATTTACGATACTGATTGTAAGAGTTACAATACCTACAGTAAAATTTAGCACAAATTGTAAGAATTACAATAAATATACAGTAAGATTTACCATACGGACTGTAAAATTTACAATATATACAGTAAAATTCAGCAGACGGATTGTAAGGTTTACAATATTGATTGAAAGATTTAGAATAATATAGTAAGAATTACCATACAAATTGTAAGATTCACAATACAGAAAATAGTATTTACGATACAAATTGTAACCATATTACATTCTAAAATGATAAATTACGCGCAATCTACTTTTTTTTCTCAGATGGAAATGAAACCAACGATGTCAAAGAAGCGACAATACTGAAACTTGAAAAATTAAAATTTCAATGATAAATTTTTGTGACACGTGTATTTTTTTTTTAAAGAAATCTGGACAACAGTGTCCACCTCTTTCACGCACTGCATGTTTAAAGAGCCACGCTAACTCACTGTATATACATATTGGAAAGGGTTGGTTGGCATTGGTTAAGCTTCTGCTAATCCAAGGGCTTACACTGGTTCGAGTGTAAATATTGATTCCAATCTGTTAGTAACACAATGGAAGATAGACGTCTCTATTCTCGATTGTCAACCACTGTCAAAGACGCCATCCGCTGTCAAAACAGTCATTACAACTTTGCAATAAAGATCCATGATTGTTCAGTCAGCACCTTTTCTTATATAGTATATTTCCTTTTGTACTCGGGAGGGGAAAAAAAGTGTGCCACAGCTACTAATTAAAGTTTTAGGATAGCTGACGAAAACATTTTACATTTTTCACATTCTTCGAATTTGTATTTTTGTTTCCCGGCATTTTTTTTTTCTTGAATTGTTTGTATTATAAAAACTTGCCACTTTTTTTCTTGGAGAAAAAGGTTTTCAGGGTTTTAGAATTTTTGGGCCTTTTATATATGTGGGTGTTCGCTTAAAAATGTCATAGTCATTCTACTAAAAATTGTTATTTTATTGACCGCTGCTTGAGTTAATTTTAAATTTAAAAAAAAAAATTTGTAAATTTAAAAGAAGTGAATTATACCAGAATAAAATATATATTTTGATAAGAAGAAAAATTAACTTTTTATCATACAATTATAATTACATAAAAAATAATTAACTATAAAAAACATTCACACATAAATATAAAGAACATAGCAACACAACACAATAGCATGAAAAAGAATAATAAACATTCACACAAAATTAATTCTCACTGAAACATAAATTTCTTCAAGAAAAACAGATTAAAAGGTATTACAATACAGGCCGTATGTTTTATAATATATATATATTGTAAGATTTACCATATGGCTAGTAAAATTTACAATATGGATTGGAATATTTACCTCATGAATATTAAAATTTACAAAATGGATTGTTATAAAAAAAGTATAGACTAAGTTTTACAACATGTATTGTAAGATTTATTACACGGAAAGCAAAATTTATAATATGGATTTTAATATTTACTATACAAATATTAAAATTTATTAAATGTATTGTAAGATTTCGAATACAATCTTCTCAAAGAATAATTTATATCTCAGCGTAAATAAAATTTGCAACTATTGCTATTTTCATAAAAATTATGCTAGCAATAAAGTTATATTATTACATAATACTTACTATTTTATTACTCAATTATTCTGATCACATAAAGAAACTACAACAATAATTTACTTATAACACTCATCACTATGAAAAAAGAAAAATATATGCACACTTCACTTTTTAATTTTAATTAAAACATGTCACAAACACATCTAACCTAACACTAATAACAAATATGAAATACATTTTATCTGAAAACATAATAAAATTAAACATACAATATAAATAAATAAAAATAATGTTTCGTTGTGTTGCTATGTTACTAAAAATGACTCACCCTACGGCTTACTCTTGAAGAAAATACCTGAAACAGAAAACAACAAATGTAGTATTTATTTTACAACTGAAAATTTTTTATAAATCATAATATCGAATTAATAAATTAATTAACAAATATTTTTTATAAAAGGCATTATTTTAAATTATTTCCATTTTTTAATCTTATTTTAAAAATAATTTTTAAATTTATAACAAGAAAAAATATTTTCATTGTTTATACAACATAAACATTGGAATCAACTTCAAATCGAACTGTCTATTTTGATTAGGTTAGTAAAACATTATTTTTTCTCAAAGATGAAAGTACAAATTTCATTCAGTATTTGACACAATGAGTTTTTTATTATTTAACTTTCAGCAAATCATTATTTGTATTGGAATTTACAATTCTTTAGCAAAACTTTAAAAATCCATGTTTGATATATATGGGGGATTTTTCTTTTTTGAACGAACAAAAAAAAAATTGAATCAATGAAAAAATGGAATTAACACGAGAACCATGTCCTTGGAGAGTTGTTGACGATTGTGGTGGAGCTTTTGCAATGGGTACAATTGCTGGAACTTTAATACAAGTAAAAAAAACATTTTGTTTTTTGCAAATGAAAATAGAAGTCTAAATTTTATTTTTTTTAACCTATTCTATCGTTTTTAGAAACAGTCGTAAAAATTTAACTAATTTAAATTAAATTTTCAAGTATTATAATCAAATTATTTTTTTACATTCTCATCACATGAGAAGGTATTATTTATAATATTTTTGAAAGTAAAAATAATTTATAGAATTGTACGAATTCATTGAATCCTTTTTTTTTGGCAGAGTGTAATTGGTTTTCGAAATTCTCCTTCTGGAATGAAGAGAAGATTTGAAGGGGGACTCACAGCAGTTAAGAACAAGGTGCCTCAAGTTGCTGGTAATTTTGCCGTTTGGGGTGGCTTATTTTCTGCGATCGAGTGCTCTCTTATTTATTTTCGATCAAAGGAAGATCCATGGAATTCAATTGCAAGTGGCGCCCTCACTGGTGGAATTTTGGCGGCAAGAACAGGCATAAAATTCAAATTTTTTTTAAAAATTTTTAAAATATATTTTTAACTATAAATTATTAATGCGAATAAATAATAATTTCCTTTCATTTTAGGAATATTCTTAAAATATAATAAATTAGTATATTGGGGTTTTAAAATATAATTTCTTGGAATTTTCTTTTTTCTTAGGAATTCCATCAATGTTGGGCAGTGCCACTGTGGGTGGAATTCTTTTGGCAGTGATTGAAGGTTGTGGTCTTGTAATGACACGCATTCAGGGTGAAGGATATTCTCTACACAATACAATGCTTGGTGAAAGTATGCAAAATTTGGCAAATGGACAAAATGGAAGAATAGCATTTTTAGGTTCCACAGCATCCACAGAAGGATCTTCGGGAAAACAAACAAATGCCTCGGAAGAGGTTAAGAGAATAGGAAAAACTTGGTGAATCCTGATTTACACGATTTGCCTAGTCAATCATTGTAATTAATTTTAAAAAACATTTTAAAATTACAATTTTATTTATACAAAAATTTTTAAACTATTTTTTATATAAATTCATTGTTTTATGTTTCTAATCAGTATTTCTTTATAAAATTTAAAAGATTCGAAATGTCTAAAATTCGTATTTTACATATATTTAAATATCTGAAACGTGACATGTGTATTATCATCGCGTCCCGTTTACGAAACATATTCTCTCTCTCCAGTGAATATAGCGGGAGCGTTTACGAAATGCAAATTACGTCTCCTATATGTATTCTTTTTTCAATCCTATAACAATTCAATTTTTTCCGTGTATTAACAAATTTTCTTTTGATTTTAAAACTAAAATTTGTTTTGATAAAAAATCCTATTCTCAAGGATCAGATTTTTTAACATTAAAAAGAAAAATCATTATGTTTTTAAAATAATAGATATATGAAAGATTAATGTTTACCTATTGGGAATAAAGTTATACTTGTATATCATGTGTGTTGGTTTATATATTATATTACATTTCCTGAATGTTATCATTGCGTTCACTTGGAACATAATAATATATAGACCCCTTTGAGTGTCCATTATAGTCGATCGAGACATAGGGATGCCTTTTGTCATTCGACATCCAATGAGTATTATTGCGGATCGCCTGTAAAGCCACGCGACAGCTGCGGTCGATACTATCAATGTCCTATTCGAGATACATCCTGTGAGATATAACAATTATTTACTTCCACTCAATCTGGAATCGCTTTAATTGGTCAAAAAAAGATTTTTAAATCTTATTATTTTTATACTATATTTAGAAAATCCAAACCTTAATGACTATTCGCACACGAAAAAAAAGTAGAATTTTTACCCCAAAATCTGTATAAAAATTAACTGCAACTTTATCTATATTTAAAAGCACCACCGTTAAAATTACGAATTACCCACAACAAAATTTATACAGTTTTTTCTGTGTCGAGTTTTTAAATAAAAAATAGTGGAAAATTTTTTTATTTTCCTATAAATTCATTGAAAAACGGTAAATCTACACAAATTTTCAAATAAATTATTGAGCGTTTTTCTCACAATGACATACAATCTGAAACATAGACACACACACTTATTGTGAGGGGCGGCTGTTGTAACAAGTCGAGTGTTTTCATAGGTCTGAACACCGGGCAAAATAGGGACAATATATATATATCCTAAACGGTATCGATGGACCTTTCAAAATAATAATAGTTTGCCTGTAATAACTCAAATTACCCTGCAAAAATTTATTCACAGACACCTCTATAATAAAAAGGAATGGGAATCGACATTTTTCCAAAAAAAAAAAAATTATTTCAAAAAGTGACAATTATAAAAATATATTTATTTGGTTCAAATAATTTTATTATCAAATATTTACATGAACTGAAATAATAACAATTAACCTTTGAATTAAAAAGCTTGGAATTTTTCTTTTTTGCAAAAATATGTAAAAATTTGTAACTTTGCAATGTAACTGCAACGAGAAACCACACATGAGAGTAATATATGATATATTGTGACTATACACCCCACTTGAAGCTTAACCAAGCGAATAAGCACCTCGCACGACTAACAAAAGGGTTTTCATCCCCGAGAGTCCTCTACTCCACTAATAGATTACACAAATGCTCTTTGTGGGACAACACATCACTACTGAATCAGCCTAGCTTTGAAATATTCATAGACTTCTCGATGACGATTACGACATTTGGTTCTTGACTGGAATCTAAACTGACAATGGCTTTGATCATCTATTCGCATAAATATATTTCTCAAAGGGTTCTTTTTTCAATATATATTTTCAATTAAACTTTTTAGATACCCTTTCTATATTCGAGCAGAATATATAGTTGACACACTTATTAAATATTATTAAAAATTAAATATTGTTAAATTTAATATTACTTTGAATTTTCCGAATATCTATACACTGTAATTTTGCTTTTTGGCATCAAGTTTATGAACGATCGAAGAGCTTGTTTTATGGAACAGATGAAGCACGAGTTTGAAAACCGATTAGGCGTGTATCGTGAAGTATCAAAACCGAGGGTTCCTGCCAACGGCTAAAACATTGAAACTCTCCATATATACACTATATGCTGACCAGGCTTCAAAGTTATCTCGCTTCACCGCGACGCATATTTACGAACTTTGGTCGAAAACCACTGCACTGGTTTCCATTTCAAAATCCCTCTCTAGATGGATTAGCTCAACCATTGTAATACACGCCACACTAATTTAATTATAATTCATAACCATCGTACCTATACTATATAATGAAGCATCCATTAAAATCCATAACAAACTTTTAAGCACCTTTTTTCCTACTACAAACTGTATAAAAATTTTTAAAAATTAAAATTCTCCAAGGTTTTCCTATACTAACATTTTCTTTGAAGGAAAAGAACAGGAAAAATGCTACAAATCTGATTTGAAATACACTTTTAATAACCATATCAGACGAATAGAAGAAATTTGCTGTGATAGCGAATTTTTTTTTACACCACAGCAAACTTTGCTCGTTGATACAGGGACAACGAATAAGTTTGCTGTGGGGTTTAAATTCTCTGTTTTTGTTGTTTTATCACTGCTAATTTTTTAGCAGATCTAGCAAAAATTTTAGTTGCTGCAACAAACTTCAGCGAACATTCGTTAGAATCTGTAGCTAATTATCAAAAATTTACTGCAGGAAACATAATTTTTGCTAGGACAACTAACAAGTTGATATACATAAATTTTATATTATATTTATTATGCACGAAAAAAATGAATTGATTAAAGATGCTATGTTCGCTATCGGATGTATCAAAATTAGTAATCACAGCTAAATTTTTTGCTATAACAACGAAAAAGTTTGCTATGATAAACAATTATATCAGTCTTAATTTTTAAAAATTTAGTGTCACAGCAAACTTTTTTGACTCCAAAGCAAATTGTTCGCTGTTCCTATATATTAGCTAACGTAATTTGATGTGACAGCAAATAATTCGCTTTTTCTATGCGTGTGGAAAGAAAGAAATTTCTTACAGATGCTAACTGATATTTGTTGTCAAATCTATCAAAATTAGTAACCACAGTCAAATTATTTGCTATGACAATGAAAAAGTTTACTGTAATAAACAATATCAATCAAAAATTTCCAAAATTAACTTAATTTCCAAGCAAACTTTTCTAACCTCCCCCCCCCCCGCAAATTTGGTCATTGTCCTTATATTAGCAAACGTAATTTACTGTATCAGCAAATAGTTCGATGCCGCAGCAAACTTATTCGCTGTGGGAACGAACTATTTACTAACGCATCAAATTACATTTTCTAAAATAGGAACAGCAGACAAATTTGCTGTGAGGGCAATAAAAATTTTACTATGAGAGTTAATTTTTTTTATCACTATGCTATTGTTTACCACAACAAACTTATTAATTGCCAAAAAAAAAATATTTTGCTATAGTTGCTAATCTTGATAAATTCGACAGCATTACCATCTACTATTTCCTTTTTTTTCTATAGCATATATTAATTATAGTAAAGTTTGCTATGACAGCAAAAAAATTTCACCACCACAGCAAACTTCTTCTATCCGTATGAATTATGTGACATCTAAAAACAAATATTTCCTCCTATTTTAATAAATTTCTTATCCCTTTGAAAAATTCTGAAAATATTCTCACGAATACAGCGCGGAAGTTATATGCAACACGCATAGAAAAAATTTGCTGAGGCAGCGAATTATTTGCTGTCACATTAAATTACTTTACATAATATATAGGGACGGCAAACAAATTTGCTGTGGGGTCAAAAAAGTTTGCTGTGACACTAAATTTTTAAAAATTAAAACTGATATTGTTTATCATAGCAAACTTTTTCGTTGTCATAGCAAAAAATTTAGCTGTGGTTACTAATTAGTAATTTTGATAGATCTGATAGCATCTTTAAGCAATTCCTTTTTTTCCGTGAACTGTATATATATTTATTTCCAATTGACTATTAATCGCGTACTCAGATTGAAAATTTAAAATATATACAAATGCAATAAAAATGTTGACAAAAATTTCAATATAAATATAATACACATAAATGCCACTCGAAAATCAAGACCACCTCACGCGAGTTGAAAATTAAATCTCACAGCAGGATTCCATTTGTGTTTACATCGACATTGGATTTTTTTTCTTTCTTTATAAATGTTAAACGAAGCATATTATACAGTGAACTTTGAGTCTGTGTGTTCAACAAACCCCCTTTTTTTACTCACTCACTCTCTTATTGAGAAAGGTGCGAAACCACTCGTCGCCAATTACCAAGTGCTTCTTTCTTTTTTTTTTTTTTGCTTCGTAGAAATCTATTGTCCAGAGACCGGAACAAGATTCACCTATTGTCACATACACACATATATACTACATACACTTTTAGAGAGCAATATTATATTGACGTTAAAGAGAGCGGAAGTCTATATGTATAGGTCTAAATCGCACCTTCTTGATTCCGTTCGCCACGAAAGCAGGTCAAAACGTGACCGTTTGGCCGTGTAACTGGATTAGTGAAGAGATTAGATCCAAGATATTTAACACGGCTTGTGGTCAGATGAATGGCAAGATTTTGCCAATATTTTGGGTGTTTAGCTTTGTGTCATTCAGTTGCATTGTTGTCGTGAAGATGGGGCGTGGAACTACTAAATCGAAGGAGAATATAAGAACATATATATATATATAGGTGAGAGGTACTGAAGAAAAATTGAACTAACATAGAGAGAAAGATATTCATCGAACTACTTCTTAATGCTCGAGATAATCCGCTTTCCTACTGACACTTGATTTTCAATTTGCAATCACTTAAAAGAGTGCTGCGTATATAATTTAATCTAATTTCTCAAGATTAAAGTCTACAAAATAAAGGAACAATTTAACAATATAAAAACATTAATAAAGAATTTGCTTAAAAAAATTTCCATATTCAGCAATTAATGCGTTCCGAATTTTTATAGAATGGTTTATTAATTTTATATATACACTGAAAAAAGGGTTTGGTATTGACAACCAAACGTTTGGTTGGTATTTAAGCAACCAAATTTTTTTTGTTGAATCAACAAAATTTTGGTTGTCACAATTAAACTTTAGTTAGGACAACAAAAATCCTTTTTTTCTAATTTTGGTTGTGTCAAACAAATTTTGATTGAGACAATTAAAATTTTGTTGATTCAACAAAACAATTTTGGTTGCTTAAATACCAACCAAACGTTTGATTGTCAATACCAAACCCTTTTTTCAGCGTAAATTATAATAAGTTTCAATTAGTTATAAAAAAAAATTTCAAACTTCAATGTAAAATAAAACAAAAATAGTTATAGGAGAATAAATATTATAGGTGTAGAAGATAAAATAAGTTGCGTCGGAAGGGGTGAAGTTGATGTAGAGAGAGAGAGAGAGAGAGAGAGAGAGAGAGAGAGAGAGAGAGAGAGAAAGAAAGAGAGAGGGGGGGGGAGAGAGTAGCATCGTAGCTCAGTGAGTCCATTAGCTTTGACGCTCAACTCAAAGGGATGCTTTCGTTTTATCAACGTGTACGGAGTGTTTCCTAAGCATCTCGTTCGTTCTTTTTACCCGACATCATTGCTCGGAAAGCAAATATATATATATACATACTTATCTATATATATAGTTCATGAGAAATATACACCAAAAAGAGAAATTCTTAATGAGAAGCTGCGCGATTTTACATTAAATATTCATATATCACCATCATATACTCTCTTCGGCAGATAACATTCTATTTTATCATTTTCGCCAGGCTTCATTCAGATGCAAATTATTTACAAATAAATAATAAATACTAAATATATTAAATTCATATACTTTCAGTATTTATAATAAATTAGCATCATAGATATAATTTATTCACGACGTTTGAAATTAAATTATTTATTCAATTTCAACGAATATTTAATTAATTATTTGGTAATAAAATAGAATTTAATCACTGTAAAACAAATCTGTTTAATTTCTCATTGACTCGATAAAATAGATAAAATTATTTCTAATTTCTTTATCAACTGTTGATAAAACAGAGAAAACGTCGATAAAGAAGGGTTTTTTAATACTAATTTCCTTATCAATTGTCGGTAAAGCAGATTGGATTCATATCGACTGCCGATAAATAGGAATGCCAAATTGTGTATAGATTTTTATAAACACTAGAAACTTCCAATAAAGTATATTAATTAAACAACTGACAGTATAGTTGTTTGAGAATTTTTCTATCAACTACCAATAAAGAAGATTTTATCAAATATGAATAAATATTTCATTTTTACCAATAAAGTAAATTTCCAACTTATCGACTGTCAAGAAATTTTTTTTACCGAATTTCAGAAATGAAAGTTCTCAACTGTATATAGTAAAAATTCCCTATCACTATACGAATAGTTAATAGAGACAACAAGAGCAATTTGATCATCTAAACGAATAGAAAATTATTGTTCCAACAAAATAGTATAGAGAATATAAAAAGAAGATGGATATGTACACACATGATAAAAATTAGAAAAGTAGAAATAAAATAAGATACACGAACCACTTGAGTTTTATATATAATATTTGAATTTGAGAAGTACCAAAAGAAATTGGAGAAGCTGTCAACTCTACGCGATGCATCTGCCACTTACTCTCCTATACCTCTCCCTCTCGATCGTTACATTTTCTTTTTTTTCACAATGACGCTTCCATTTTATTACAATTATCTCCATTATTCGACAGGAGAAAAGCATTTTAGCGCGCCACACAATGGACCAATATCTATATGTTAGATACCTATATATATATATAAAAAAATCTTATATAAGCGCGAGAGGATGCCACCTCGCGTTCAAATATATATAGATCCAATATTTTTTGCCACTGATTTTTCCTGACGATCGAGTTTTATTATGTTTTGACATAGAGAAGAAACTAGTTTCATATAACGATTGGGTTTACGTATTTTCTTACATATACTTATATATCAAGATCTTATCCTAAAAGTACAACGCCCAAAAATGTTCAACATTTTTTTTCCGACCTTATCTCTCGTTGGGGCTCAAATGAAACATTTACTATATTATTGGATTAATAAATACGATCACTGCTCTTTCAATAAATATATATATTCCTTATCGAATTAGCGGATGTATTTATGTTCTTTTCTATTTAGAAAAAGCTGTAATTCTATATACATACCGAATTTTCTTATTTTTCCATATACCGAAAAAGGGAGAATATGTCTTGTAATTTAATAGATTAGCAATCAAAAATAATATTTACATTCATAATACAATCTATCAACCACCTACTATTTATTTATCGAAAAAGAGCACAAATAGGTCAAAGACAAAAAAAACGATCTAATTTTTGTTGTAATCAAAATTTAGTTTAAATAGCAAATTTTTCTTGTGGATTAAAATTAAATTTTACAAGGCCGCCTTTTAGGGATTTAATCGCATTTATTGTAGTAATATAATTTAAATTGATTTTTGAAAAACGATTAAAATTATTAATTAAATCCGTAAAAGGCCATATGTAAAATTTTATTTTAACATATTAATGAAACGGATGTGAAAAAAAACAAACAAGCAAATTTTTCTTATTCAAAAATGACGCGATTCATTCGAATTCATGGCAAAAAAGTTGTAAGGATAAAAAAATTTGATAATGCATCGGATTTTTTTTTAAAAAAAGTGTTTTTTAAAACATACGTTCATATATGGGAAAAAATCTGTTTGAAAATCGATACAACATTCGAGTGTTGAATTGGCATATTATCAGACACAAGTTTTATGCTATATATGCGCCGAAAAGCTCTGCCAATGAATATATGGAAACATGACGTTAAAAGTTTGCGAAAATATGCAATGCGAGGCATTCGCGTTGTATTTCCGCCAGACGAGGGCCAAATATAGGCGAGGGCTGTTATTTACAACAAAAACGTAACAATTGCAATTTGAGCCACAGGGTCACGCCACTCAACGAGTTCATATATGTAAAGGTTTATATGTATATATATATACTATTATAAAGGTTTATATATACATACATGTATACAACACTATATAGAAAATATATACACACGCCATATTGCCAGTAGTGTGGCTTGGTTCGAAATTGTGTTTTGTAAAAGCCGAACGGCAGATATGAAACCAGCATGGCGGATGCTTACAAATAGTTGCAGGGCGGCGCCCCATCCTGCCTCACCGCTTTTAATGTGCACTTCGTCTTTTGTCCCTGGGTATATATAAAATAAGCTCTCGCAATCCGTGTCAAAAAAAAAGGATTCCGAGTAAAGGACAAAAATAAGAGGCGGGATTTAATTTTCATTCTCCTTAAAATTCTATTTCAAAATTTTGTTAATTTTTCATTATTTTCTCAATTTTTAACGAATTACTAAAAATTTAGTAACAATGATGGTAGCAAATATAAATTACCATCTAAATAAACTATATCTCTTTTTTCTTTTGTACAGATTTCTAAATAAATACTAAAAGTACAAATTGGCTTCCTTTGGAATCAATGAACAGTTATAATGGAACAAAAAGATTATCATATAATTAAAGTCCAAAACTAATATGAACTATTTTTAGACTATTAGTCCATGTGTATATATACACAATAGATTCAGCACGAAACTTTAAAGAATCAGGGACGAATCCACCTTCGACATGATATCGAGTTGGTTGTATTCGGTTAAGAATCATATACCATCTCCACATCGCTACCTCCAGTAACCGCTGGATGGAGGTTGAAGATCAATATCTCAACCTAGGGGGCGAGGTATAGCTGAATTCCATTCGTGAACCGCCTCTCTTCTACCATTGGCCACGATTCAACACAGAGGGATCTCTGTACAATTCTCTTTCACCATTCTGAAAACATGGGGGCGGTGCTTCGCTTATACAAGAGGGGAGACAACCAGTCGCTACTGTCAACCAGATCATAAATCATAGTCAGTCGCTCACACAACGCGTTTCGGTCCAAACATTCAGGTCCAAAAAAATAACTGTGAAAAGAGTGATCGTGAGAGAGTGTGTTTTAGACAAGAAAGTGATTTTGTTGACAATTGAATTTTTACTGGATTTCGTGAAAGTGTTTAGTGAAATTCTAAAATTGTGTAACTTTTAATTAAAATCAAAGGATAATTATTAAAGAAAAGGAATTATTTATGAAGAGTTGAACAATTTTCAAGACAACAATGTGCAACAATGAGAGTCCACCACCATCGAAAGAACCTCTATCAGTGGGTCTTGGGGTTGGAACTCCATTTTTCCCTGGCTTAGAACACTATCGTTTACAATTGTATCATTATGCAATGACCGAAAGATTACGATTGGCCCAACAATTGCATCCTCAACATCCTGGAGTTGGTCATCCACAATCCGGCGGACCAACATCGGCCCATTTGGGAATGGCGCCAGGATTTCCTGCACCACTACCATTGTATCCTGCAGCAGCTGGATATCCAAGTAGACTTGCTCTTTCCATGGCACTATTGCATCCTCATCATCAACGAATACCCGAGGAGCCTAAACCCCAACACAGTTACATTGGACTTATTGCAATGGCTATTTTATCATCGCCTGACAAGAAACTTGTACTATCGGACATCTATCAACATATTTTGGAACACTATCCCTATTTTAGAACAAGAGGACCCGGCTGGAGAAATTCCATTAGACATAATTTGTCACTCAACGATTGTTTCGTTAAGTCCGGAAGAAGTGCCAATGGAAAGGGACACTATTGGGCAATTCATCCAGCGAATCTTGAAGATTTTCGACGAGGTGACTTTAGAAGGCGTAAGGCGCAGAGAAAAGTTCGAAAACATATGGGACTCGCTGTCGATGAGGAACCTGATAGTCCAAGTCCACCGCCATTGCCCGCGACACCTCCACCCTCCGTACCATCACTTAGACCAACAAGTGCTCCAATGTCTGGGATTTGGAGTCCACATCATCATCAGCCTCAACAACAGGACCAACCACATCAGAACTTTAAAAGTGAGGATCTTTTCTCAAATCTTAGTAATCCTTTGCGATATAAGTTTCTATTAAATTTTCCTCACAATTAAATATTCGACAATTGTACAATCAGTATTTCGGAAATATGTAGAGCAAGAATTTAACAAATCTTAATGTGTAACGAAATCCTATTAGAGAAAATAGAAACAACCTAACATATCCCAAATATATGCTAAATTATTTTTCTTTTTAGTGTTTCAGAATCAGGGCCTAAGGCAAGGTTGTCAGCCATCGAGAAAAAGGCAGTTTGACGTCGCCTCGCTACTTGCTCCCGATGATCAATTGGAGTCCCTAAGGCCGATGAAATCGAGAAAATTCAGTTGCAGTGAAGACGAACACGACCTACAGGAACCGGAACCAGAAGCCGATCACGACGAGGAGGATGTCGACGTTGACGTCGATGTCGATGAAGGAACCGAGGTTAAACCACTCCTATCACCAGTAACACCATCAGCAAGTCCCGAATCAAAATTAAGTCCCGTTAACGGACACTGCAATTGGAGTAATCCAGGACTTCAATCAAATATTTGTCAATCAATATCCGGACTACATCTTCACAATCATCTTCATGTTAGAAATTACTACGTTCCAAGTAATTCCAGTTCTGGATCAAGTATCTAAAGTGAAAATTAAGAAGAGGATGTGGTGATCAGCGAAAATAATATTTTTTTCGCAGAGACTCTAGTCTGATAAACATTGTATAATGTTCCTTTCGATGATAAATTCGTGAACGCGCGAAAAAGGGGGGAGGTGTTTAGGAAAAAAATTTGTGATAATTTAGGGATTTCGGAAGATTTACATATATATACGCCAGTGTGTTATATTGTGAAATGGATTTTAAAATAATGCCAAAACAGATGCTATATATTACTTTTTTAAAAAAGAATGTAAGGAATCCAAAGTTCTATATTGTTATATTTTCTTAAATATCAATTTACAAAAACTTCCTTATCAAATTATTTTCATTACCATTTCAGAATATTTTAACACTATTTTTCGAAATTCTAAACTATTTTCTCACTATTTTATTAATTTTTCTCTTTTTCCTAAGAAGTGTACAAATTTTTCCCCATAATTGAATTTCTTGTACATAGAAGATTATTAATTTGTACATAAGACAAATTTTGGGTGGGTCTATATATATATATAGTTGTTATATAATAATATTGACTGAAGTGATCTCGATTTAAAGTGTAATATATTTTGGAGATTAAGGTCTGAAATATGGCGACGTCATACCAATAAATTGTATGCCATATTATGTGACAGTCGAAGATTTCAAAAAAAAAAAAAAAAAAGAAGCTAAATTGGGTGTCAATCCTTTCATCCTGTATGTATGAATGTATGATGTGTACGACTGTACTTAGTTAGGTAAATGAAAATACAATAATAATTAAAAATCTCCTGAGTCAGAACGTGCGACAGAATTTCTAATGACCAGCATAATGAATATTAAAATTCTGCCTCGTACGTTTCACTCATTAGAAGAATATGTGCACGGACAACTGTTGCAATGGAAACTTTAATAAAAAAGTCTGTTCTCACAATTTCTTATAGTCTTTCTTTATTTACAAAACTCTCCAAAACCTTTATTCATTAATCATACGAATCACAATAGATGCTAAAATCTAATTTTTTTCAAAATTAGAAAATTAATTTTTCAAAATAATTATAATTTTAAAAAATAGTTTAATTAGTTTAGCCTATAGGCTAAAAAAAAATTTGATTCAAATAATCGGGTGACTATTATCAAATAAATATTTACTTGAACCAAATAATTTAATATATTAATTAAATAAATTGTATTTGAAGCAATATAATTTCTTTATTTAAAACAAATACCATTAGCACCAGAACATAACCTCAAATTAAAAAATGATTTTTCACAAAACTAAAAATATATTTAAAATTTATTACACCAAAAAATAAAATAATTATTATTTAACAACAAATTTTTGCGCGAAATAATTTATTTTGAAAATTGTATAAGAATCTTTCAAAATTTAATAAAATTAATTTTATTTATAGTTATTGTTGTTAAAACAACTTTTTAGTTTCAGGTTATGTTAATGGGCTAAGAACCCTTAATAATAAATATTAATAAATTATTAATAAATATTTATTTGATATTAGTCAAGTAACCGATTATTTGAATCAAACAAACTTTTTGTAGTCTTTGATTTTTTGAAAATTTTGATTTTTTTCTCTAAGTATAGAAATTGATTTCTATCAAGTTTAATCTATTTTTTTAAATCTACTCGTAAAAAAGAAATAAAAATTGCAAACTTTAAAGTAAAAACACGATTTTTTTTGTATTCAACGTTTCTTTAAAAAAAACCTTTAAAATTAAATCCGAATAGGTTAGTTTATATTTTTCCTGTAATCTACACGAAGATACAAATTTGTGCCAAATTTCAGTCCTGTAGGTCAAAATGACTAAGCTTGGAAAAAGAGAGGGGGTAACACAATTTCACGGACAGACACTGTTTTCTTTTATAGAAACCCTAAAAAATTAGGGTTTTAATGACAAAGAAATTGTTTTAGACAAATTAAAAAACAATTTTCCCTTTTTTTTCAAAATACAATTTTCCAGTGAAGAAATACAATTCGATAACGTTCAATATTGACATTTAAGAAAAAATTTTTTTGCATTGAATAAAGAAAATATTTCGAAAAATAAAAATATGCGCGAGTAATTTTGTTTGAACTAAGCTTATATATCAAATAAGGAAAGCAACAAGTTGTCACCAAAGGAAGAAGGATATATATATATATACATATTTGTAGGATGAAACCTTCGAAAGATGCGTTTTCCAAACTCTTGACCGCGTAATCCGACGGAATGAGTACAATGGTAAATAGACTTTTTAAAACGAGACCTCGAATATCTGTGTATGTGTGTGTGTAACTTTGAAAAACTTGAAACGTCTGAGGAATAAAACCCGTTTTTGTCGTTAATAAATGGTAGTCATGCCCATTAGTTAATGCACACAACAGCACTTGGCGTTTGTCTAATATATACTCATAAGTATTGAACGTTCATCTTGACGATTTTGTTTGAAATAGGAAATCTGGTATGTAAGTGTTAACTCAACGAGTAACTTTCGCAATTTTACCTCATTCTTTCGCGAGTATATTTAACATGAAAAATATTTATCGATTATACAAATTTTGAATATAGGGAAATTGTATTATAGGAGACGAAGAAGAAGAGGAACTAAAAAAAATCATAGGAACTTCCTAATCAAGATAAATTAAGTAAACATAACCTATAATTTCTTTGCTTCTTAGGTCCCTTCTTTACAACACCTATATACGAATCAGTAAATAAGAAAAAATTTCGAATATGCCGACGGATAAAATTTTTAGGTTAATGACTCTGTTAACAGACAAATTTTTGGGGAAATTTTCATCCCTACAGAGATCGTGCCTCGTGCGTTTATCCGGGACTTTGCTTTTCCCCAGATTCGACCTTTGGCACCTGGGCTACATGTGGAGCTAAGCATAGATAATAACTGTTTATCACAAATAATTCCTTAAGAAAAGAGCTTGCCTACATAACAGAAAAGACAATGTGTATACAAACCGCAAATCCTACGCCGGGGACTATTAGGATTATCCTTTATTCCTCTTAGAAAAATATTGAGTTTAGTACCATAATTAGAACTAACTCCATTTCAATTTAAATATATATATGTCTAATTAACAACTTTTTGGGGAAAATGAAAATTTCATCATGTCCTCCATTACAGAAGAGATGTCTCACGAGATATATATATATATATGAAATATATGAAATTAGATGTAAATTATATATAAATATATACGAAGTTAATTATATATGTTTAAAAACAATTGTTTTAATTACTCATTGTTTTTAAATTTAAAAAATCCACTTTTGTTCAAAAGATGATTATAAATATTAATATGTAAAACTTAGAAGAAAAATTTAAAGAATGATCAACAAAAGGAATAAAAAAAGAACTGACACTCAATATGTTTCGGTATGTTAAATTCTCTAAACCGAAACTGGAAATTTATAGTTTAGAACCAAGAAACGGAATTCAAAAGTCCATAATTAAATTTCGTTTCAAATCCGACACGGAATTCATATACTTTTATTAACTTTTCAACAACAAATTTCTAATTCCGCGCTTTCGGTCATCAGAAGCGAAATCGAATTAGATTTTGAATTTCATGTTTATAAAAGCAAGAAATAATTTCCAATTTCAATTGTTTCAGGATTTAAAATGTAATTAAATTAAACATTAAATTCGATTACAAAAGAGTTTGATGTAGGAATAAAATTAGATTTAAAAAAAGCAAAAATCGAACAAAATACCATAAAGAAAGTAACGATCTATTTTGATTTTATTTAATCTTTTATTAATAGTGGGAAGAGAATTGAATCGGTGCGAGTGTATTATTCTTTTTGATTTTTGCCTCGTCTTCGCCACAGCAGTAGCTTTAAATGTCGATAATAATAATTATACGGAATTAGAGCGCAAATGCTATATATATATATATATATATAAGACCCAGTAAATAATAGAGGACATTCAGTGTAGTTATCATTCTCGGTCGAGTTTTCATTGTCTTCCTGTTCATCAAATGAAACCCCAGTGGTCGCAAACCGTAGCTAAATCCTCCAGTACCGACGCAAAGCAGCCGCATAAGTGAACGAAAGCAATTTGTTAAATATTGCTTCTAACGTCACAAACACTGGGCGCCATAGTAGTGCCGATTTAAAAGGCATACAGAAATTAAACGATTTTAGTATCAATTTGTATAAGATTGTTATTCGTTAATTCTTTAAAACAATATATTCACAATTTATAATATCATGAATATTTTTTTATAAAAATTAATTCTAAATATGAAATTCATATATGATATTTTACAAAAATTCTCTAAGTAGTTTTTAGAATTTCATTTCAAGTTTCTATGAAAAATTATCTTAAAACTATAAAACACACTTGAATACAAAAAAGGGAAGTCAAAATTTCTAATACGGCGCTTAAAAATGAGTTTATAGATTTTGAGTTTTGAATATTTTTTTCCCATCATGCGAGGTAGAAAAACGAATGAAGCTGGGAGAGCCAAAAAGGTGTTAGAAAAACATTCTAGGTTTGCTATACTACGAAAGGGGGAATATATTCAAACCCATGAGGTTTGTTGTCTTTAACCAAACCTTATAATATCGTCTCGAGTTTTTAGATATATTTAACAAATAATGACTTCGCATCACCTGTCTTCAATATATAATCTCTATATACGAAGAAGTTCGAATATAAACTTATAATCTCTTTCTTTCCATGAAAGTTATTTCATAGGGAAATATTTGCTTTAATTTATAATCACAATCGCGTTCCTTCTTAAAAACTTGTTTCTTTCTTTTGAGAAAAGAAATCTATACCATTCTTCCCATAGATTTTAAACAAATTTCACATTCCTTAAGAAAACTAATATGCCTCATGAGAAAAAAAATGAAGACAAAGAATTTCAAGAATTTTTCGAGATCGGATTTTATACTCTTCTAGGCGACTGAATAAAATTAATATTAGATTTTAATAAAAAATTTTAGCTAAAATAGTTTTAAATATTAGTTTCTCGTAAACAGGAAGTCAATCCAAAATGCGGCTGAAGGGAATAATATTTTTTAACTATTCATAAATTTGATGCGTTAGTTTTTTTTTTGTAGATCATTGATGGAAAGATGTGTTTCGCAGATAGGAAAACGGAGGTTCTTTAACGTTAACTGGAAGCAAACCCTTGTCAATATTCTCATTGTATAGTCTGGTATTTAGATCAGATTGATCGTGCTTGGTGTGGAAGTGTTGTTTGTGGCTACTCAATGTATATATATTTATGTGCGACTGTGAGCGCAGTCCACGTACAAGTGCAAGGAATGGAAGGTGTAGGTTTAGAGTTTAGGGCACCACCGGAACTGACTATATATATATAGAATCTGCCTCTGATCTCGTTACCATGTCGTTGTTGCTTTGCAAATGGATTTGCGGTTGCGCAGATTAGAATCAACCTCTCTCACATTTCAATTTATTACAAATTTTCAAGCTTCTCTTATTTACGATTATTATTCAAATGTCCCTATATATTCGATATCTATAAATATAGTCTAAAACTTCAATTTTTTTTTCTAACTTCATGAAATTGGAACCCAAACGATAACTAAACAAGTACTAAATTCCAGCTCACTAGGTTAAAGTGAAAAATGCTATACATTAATACTGCTAAATAGTTTTAAAAAATATCGAATTTTATTAACAGATAAACTTGGAAT